TGCAAAATTAGTGAGTAATGGAGTTTTTAGGCTCCGAATTAGACTTTGGGACGTAGGCACGGGCTTTGGACTTTGATTGTGACTCAGGAACAACTTTGTGTTTCTGGTGGTATTCTTTGAATTCTTTGGAAACAGACAGAAGGCTAATGTCTTTTCATCTATCCAGTAGTCATATTCAATGACTTGAAGGTTCCGAACGGTCTTCTTCGGACCTTTGACTTCCGGAGTGTTGGTAACATTTGTAACCTCCGGAATTGTTGTTTCATCAATGGGAGTTTTGACTTTCCACACAAGATTTTTCTTTGAAGATTTTGAAAAAGATGTTTTCTTTGCATTTGTGGATTTGCTTGATGACACATTGGTTTTTGAAAGATTGGGTTTTAAAATTGTGCCATCAGATTTTGCAATAAAAACAGATGAAACAGTCTGAGGAGAAGTGTTTTGGACTGTTGTGGCATTCACACGAGATTTAGGCTGAGTAGAACTGTCTACTTTCTTGGGTTCTACACGACTAGGAGATTCAGAAGGTCTTTTGAGGATCTTAGTGGGAACAAAGGAGTTTTGACTATGGGTTGATGCATGAGAATTCGGGATAAACTTGGTTTGGAGTTTGCAATGAACCTGGAATTTTGTCTAGTCTTAACTTCCTTTTTATGTGCATTTCGAGCTTCTACTTTGGGATCTACAATATCCTTCCTATTCAGCATTGGTTTTCTCTTAGGATGAGACGAGGATTTTGAGGTTTGTCCTACGGACGGATTCCTAAACTCAGGAGTAATGGGAACCAATTTAGTTTTTGAGACGACTAAGGAATCCGATTCGCAAGAATCAGAGGACACACAGCTTGAGACTTCAACTTTATCATCTAAAGATGCCCATACAAACTCAGGGGTAGTAGTTTCAGTTGTCACCGGAATGATTTCTTCAATCACACAATTGTTCACATGATTACTTTTAGGAACATAATCTACGCAATTTGTAAGACTGTGATGAAAATCCGTGGTCCGATTCAGGTCCAGGTTTATCAGAGGCGGAAGTGGCGTGGAATCAGGACACTTGACAACAATTGGTTTGAACTCAGGAATTAGGGACTCAAAATGGTCTGTAGTCTCAGGAAGTGGAGACAAGGGAGAAACAGGGGTGTCCGAATGTTTGATGTTCGGAACCTCTCCCATGAATGTCAAATTTTGCAATTCCTTCAGGGGACTAACAATTGGTTTCGGAAACTCGCTTCCGAGACCAGGTGCTTTAGACCATGGATGACGAAAATTATGAGTCATCCGAATGTCCGCTTCAAGCATGTCTACAGAATTATGCAAAGCATCTATCTTTGCATTGAGACGTTTGTTATCAGAAATTAAAACATTTCGTTCAGAATAGGTGATTTCACATTTATCTTTCAAAATGATACATTCATCGTTTGACATTACAAGCTCATGCTCTAAAGACTCGATTTTCAATTTTTTATCCTCAAAACGTAACCTAAGACGATTTAGTTCACAGTCCTTCTTCTCACTGGCTTCTATGGCAGACTCATAGGCTTTATAAATGGTGCTCATATCTGTTTGGATTTGGGTCAGATAAGGTTCACAAAGAGACAAATCAAAATTATTATCAGAGATCATAGATTTTACCTGCTGAACGATGCTTCGACCAGGTGGATCATTGGTGGCCATGTAGCAGTAGTGAGGTTCAGCAACATCATCTTCATCTTCCGACCCAGAAGACCAATATCCTTCATCACATTCAACCGTTTGTCTTGCCATCAGACACATGTTCCTTCCAGTTACCATATCATCATCATCCCGGATGACCAATATCCTTCAACATCTCTTGAAACCGTTGTTACAAAGGCTTTTTCGCTTTCAGCCATCTCTTGTGCTCTTCGGACGTAGTAAGCTGAATCCTTGATTTTTGGTTTCTGCGGAGCATCAGCCAGGCAATCTTTAGCAAAATGGTTTGCATGTCCACACTTATGACACACAATTTTTGGTTTGTCCGATTTGGAACCCTGAGAGGGTTCCGGAGTAGAGTTTGGTGTAGTGATGTTTGGTTTGTATGCAGGAGGATTTTCCGAAGTTGGTTTAGGTTCCGGAGCTGAGTATGGTTGAGGATTGTTGTGGTGAGGAGCATGGAATCGGTTTTTGGTATGGTTTGTAAGAAGGATTGAAAGGACGTTTGTATTTCATTGAGAGTAGAGCGAAATCCTGTTGGAAACGGAGTTCAGAGTCCATGGCTTCAGAATCATCAACATGATAGATTTGTGTGGGTAAGATGGGTGTGGATGTTTGAACAAATGGAACAATGGGTTTAAAGGAATCCGAAGTAGATGAGTTCGGAATGGTTGATTCGAAAGAACTGACAAGGGCAAGAGGACCTCCGGAGAGTTCCCTTATGGTTTGAGCAACATTTGACTCATGTCCTTGAAGTTCATCAAAAAGTTGATAGAGCTTCAACTTTTTCAAGGAACCATTGCTTTGGAGACAAGATTTTACATTTCCCCATCCTTTGCCGAGACTGTTTATGAATTTGAGATTATACTCCAAAGGAGTTCGAACAATCCCATGATAAGCCATGTTGTTGACCACGATTGGATAACGGTTGGAGGCTGAGGCCACTGATTCACCAAGAGTGGTAGTGAAGGTGTCGAAGTCGTTGACAACTGAGGTGAGGCGCTTGTCTTTCATATTTTTCGAACCTTCAATCAGGTCCTAAAGAGTGTCCCAAATCTCTTTGGATGATTTGCAAAGCTTGATGTGCTCGAAGAGTGAAGGAGGAACACCAAACACCATTTCTGAGAAAGCAACTTGATCAGCATGCAGCTTCTCGATATCATCTGCAGTTAGAGGAGCTGGGCGAGTTTCATCTTCTCGCATGAGCTGAGCAGCTGCATCTCTTACAACTGTTCTTACAGGAACATGAGGACCTTCTTTGACGGATCTCCAGATTTCTTCACCTTTATCTTTGGCAAGTAAAAATCTTTCCATTCTAACTTTCCAGTGATCATATTCTTCCACAACTAGTAATCGGGAACCAGTAGGGCCACCCACACTATTTTCGATTTGCATTGAAATCATTTGCTGAGGATTAGAAGCAGCCATTGAAGTTTAAGATATCTTCAAGCTAAAGTGGTATATAGAAGAACTTTTATCCTTAACACAGAAATGGTTGAAATACCAAGGTAATTTCAAACCAACTATAATCTGATCTTATGGATTCAAAGGACAACCACTCAAGCTCTGATACCAATTGTGAGAACAAGATCGATCTGATGCGCAGGGACAAGGTTTGAGAACTCAAACCTTGAGTGAATGCTTAAGATCAATGTCTACTTGCTAATAGATGCTCAAGTCAAGCATGGAAAGACCAGTCAAGTCTTAGATAATATATTCAACAAATGATCAAGTCATTAAATGAGGAATGAGAATGAATGATCAAGGTAAAGCTAATAAATTAAGAACAAGAATAATGTTTTAAATAAACTCGGTGAAATGCCAAAAGTTGAGTGAAAGATCCGTAGTTGACTTGTATTGAATGTTCCTATAAATAGGAGTGAAGGTTACAGCGAATTAACTAGAATACTTGCATATGACTGGACAATAGGAATGTTCCTGACATTCTGATTGTCTAAATACAACAAAAGACTAAGTCCTATGAAATGTCACATCAATACAAAGACAAACAAAATAAATGCACAAAGACAAAATAGAGTTGCTCCGGATCAGCATCCATTCTGGACATGAGAGTCATTCCGGAATGCCTTCAGCTTCGCATCTTCTTCTTTCCTGGTCCAGATAGATTCCTGACCATTCTTCACATTTCACTCCGGACCATTTATTCTGAAATGCAAGTACTTCCGAATCCGAACTTAGGATTGCTAGAGGTTCACTTTTAGGTTCCAACACATTCCTTTTACCCAATGTGGGATAAAAGCGATATATGTGGGCCCCTCGATGATTTAGTGATGACACCCCTAAGCGCTTGGCCAAGCCGGGAATATGTTGATGTGTTAAATTGTAGTATGTTGTCAGTCGTCATAAATCGGAAATCGGGAAACAACACATGAATAGAGAGTATAATTAAAATCCATGTCTCAGTTCATACGATATCTAGAATGGAGGAATATATGATCCCTTATCTAAAGGATACGTTACTGATAAGATCAGAGTTGACAGCGGCTTTTGAAAGCTACGATTGCTGATCAGGTTCTGAAATCATACACAGAATAGTTATTAGACTTATCCAAGTAGGAGACTGTTGGATTAGGTGTGTAAGCCCGTAACTATTTTGGTATGTACTTGGCCCGATTATGAGCATGATCCTTTTGGGTTGCCTTCACCATAGCAACTGATAGGATGAATTAAGGAGAAAGATGATTAATTATGATTTAGTAATATGTTATAAGAATAAAATATTAAAAGAGAAATCATATTATTTAACTAATATTAGTCAAGAATCAATTAAGAATTAATTTTGTGGCTAAAAGAGATTAATTAAAGAAAGGGGACTGATATTGTAATTATATGATAGTTACAAATTGGGCTATAGATTCCTAATGGAAAGGGGATTTGAAGAAATCTATGGGAAGCCCATATGGATTTCGTCCAAGGGATTTCTAAGGGAACTCCATGGGTTGCTTAAGGCCTAAGCAGAGAATTAGGGTTCACCTGAAACCCTAGCAGCCCACACAAGTATATAAAGACCCCTAGGGCTCCCAAAAACGTGGCTAAGCATTCTCTTGAAGATCTTGAACGTTTTTGGTGCCTCCTCCCTCTCTCCTAAGTCATTTTGTTGCTAGTGGTGTTTGTGACTCCATTAGAGGTGCAACATTTGAGGCACTAAGCTTCCAAGAGTCAAGATCAAGGAGATTTGTGATTGTTATTGCTACATAACAATCAAGGTAAAGATCTAAACCCTTTTTATTATGATGATATCGATTATTATATGCTAGATCTAGGGTTTATGAGCTTTGGATGATTATTGCATGTTCATTAGACAAACTAGATCCAAAGCTTTAGGGTTTGCATGTACACCATAGGATTGATGTAGTGCTCATAAGCCATCACTTTTGTCATCACAGGAACAGGAAAATTTTCATATCTATAATCGATGTCGTCTATCAGAACCTTCAGGTGATTTTCTCGTAAAGGAAATGTGTGTATCAACCCATTCCCATATGGAAAGACCAATCCCTTGGCACATTTTTGGTCTAACTCCCCATAGGGTAACACCAATTCACAAGGGGTAGGCATCTATAAACATATAGTAAAACAAAAATAAGAATAAAAGATCTTTGAAGGATAATAAACAAAAAAGTACATAATAATGTAATAACTATATTTGAATTTTTAACCATTTTAAGTATATCTATTATAGTTCAATCTATTATAACAAAACATTTTAATTAAAAAACTAGAGTCTTTTGTCTCAATTATACAACCAAAATGATGATATTAAGGTAAACTCAAACACAATTCTTACAATGTTGCATTTTCTAACACAAATATTATAATAAAATATTTTGTGCAAATATAAGAATAAACAAATAAATACATAAACACTTCTGATGATATGGAATCAAACAATATTTAACATCCAAGAAAAAATATTAGTTAAATCAGTTAAACAAGTATATTATCACTAAAAAATGATTAGAAAAACACTGGTACTCAGTTTTTTTGCTCATCGCTAGTTCTGAGCATAATTTCTCTACTAACAGGTTTAGTTTTTATTGTTTCTAGATGTTACTGGAACATAAATAAACTCATTTACCTTTATCGTATCCAAAGCATCTAATGTTGGAGTCGATCCACGATTATTTTGTTGAACCCCTAAGCTTAAATCATCTGGGGCATGGTTCCTAGACCCGTGCTGCATGTCAAACTGTTCTTGTAGCTTTGCCAATTGGGAGCCCATCAAATCTATCGTTGCCTGCATCTTATCAATAGTTTCTTTTTCATGTTTTTTTCTCTTTTTTTTATCAGTCTCTTGCATCCCTTTTCTCAAGCCAACAACATAACTGTAACATCCCGTTATTTTTCTAAATGTAAAGTCAACCCTAGTCAACCATAGTCAAACTTGGGTCAACTAAAGTCAACTTAAATATTATTCTATCTTAAATGGATCAGATTAGTTTTTGATAAATATGTACATCTTGTATTCAAAAGTGTTACATGTTTGAGGTAAAAGCTTGAGTCCGAGATCATTTTGCTTTCCTTCGGATAGAAGCCTCGCAACCGCAAACACTTCGGGCCGCAAAAGGTTCACGGTCGTGAACTCCTCGGACCGTGAACCCTCGCAGCCTTGATCACTCTAACCGACCTCGGACTGTGAATTGTGACCACAAACCGCCAACTGCCTTCGGACCGTATACGAGGTTCACAGCCGTGAACCCTTCGGACCGTTAACCCCTCGCCATATATATAGATTTAGTTCATTTTTCCTTCATTTCTCACATCTTCCAGCCAAGAACTCCCAAACTCTCTCAAGTATCATCAAGGGAAACCCTCCTTTCTATTCTAAAACGTAAGTGATTCATCCCGGTTTACTAGTTAATCTTTTTATTCAAGTGAAACCCTTTGGTTTCATCCATGAATTCAACACTTTTCGTTTAGATCTTCATATCACCATCATTTTTCACCAAGAACACCAAGAACACACACTTGTTCTTGGGCCGTGAACCACCCAATCTTCAAGTTTTGGGTCGTGAACCCTTCAAGTTAGGGCCGTGAACACCCCTCTTCTGGCCGTGAACACCTATCAGCTTCCATTTTAGCTTTTAACACTCCAATTTGTAAGTTATACTTACAAATTAGTCCAATTTCCAATCATTCCTATGATTATATTAGCTAATTGGATGCATATATGTTATACAAATTACTATATAGGACTTGTTTTGTTGCGGGATTTCATTCGTGGAATTAAACATCCTATACCAAATTATCATTTGAATCACCCTCCAAAAGGTGAGTTCATACCCCCGTATTTTCATAGTTTTTACTGTTTTAAGGGGGGGGGGGGGGATACAAGTTTAACACAAGGATATTTGTGTTACAAGAAAATGGTTTCAAAATATATTAAAAAAATAATTTCAATTGTTATCAAATCAAATGGTTTCAAATTGTGTTAAATGACATCAAGTCATCAAAAATATTTCAAAATGTTAAACTCTTTAAATGATTTTATAAATTTATGTTTTTCCCCAAAAATCATATATATATATATATATATATATATATATATATATATATATATATATATATTATATATATAAGATTTAAAGGCTTAGGACTGATAACTCACTTTGGTTCCTTTTCCTTGTTTGGATGTGGACCTATAGTATCGGTTATTTGTCCGAATGTCGTTTAAATTTTAATTATATATATATATATATATATATATATATATATATATATATATATATATATATTTGTATATGTATATAAATATAAAAGTTATTTCATTCAATTCAATTACCCTTTGTAACATGTTGAGCAAGAGGTTACATTCATGAATAGTTAGTATCAATTCATAAAGTACATATAAATTATAATAGGTATAATTTATGATTCATAGAACATTAATTCACAATTCAAGTATAGTAGAGTACACCGTTTTACAAGAACAAGGGTTTAATTCAAAACTAATCAAGAGTATACATCTTTCATATACATGTTAAGAATACTAATTCAGGAGTATACATTCAATCATTATTTCAGAATGATTGAGTTTTCACTTATATTATACATGGAACGTCTATATGCTTTTGATGAGTCATTTGATTCAGGTTGTTTAATTCATTTAAACAATATAGATAAAGTCCTGACATTATAACCAGAATCTCCAGTCGGGGATCGAAACAAGTGTGTATAGATCTATATTGGGATTGACAACCCCGCACTCAGATTGCTAGCTACAGCGAAGACATACACGCCTACGAGTGACAATTGTTATCAACAGTTCTAACGCCTTCAAAGCATTGTTTCAGGCCATCTAGTCTCAGTATGGTTATAATAACTCATTAAAAGGATATTAACAATACAGTTAGTGTATAATTAACTAAAACATGAGTACATTTTTCAAAGTACCAGCTTTACAAACATATAGTTTACAGTAGTACATTACAGTTTACAATAACAGCTGGTGGAGCCAGACACACTCACTTTTACAGATTATACAAAAGAGTACAAATACAGAACACTGGTTTACAAACGGAACGGTCTTATGTGATTAAAAAATACTTTTCGTATACAACAGAAAATATAGGATTTTATGGAACAGTTTACATATTCAAGAAACAGAAACAAACTTTCAAACATAAATACTTATGCACTCACTCAAATTTATGTTGATACTCTCTTTTCAAATTACTTGTATTCTCAGGGAATCAGTAGACAGGTACTCCCCGAGCTTTTGAGAAGATGGAGCTATTTTTGAGTCATGTCTTCTTCTTTTGTATAACTATTTTGGTGTCGATATACATTGACTGAACACATGTAAAAACTTATACATATGGTTGTTTGTACTTTGATTACTATAATGCATGTGTTGTGATACTACAAATGAAGTCATCCACCCCCGGACGTTTCCGCCATCTGGTGTGGGGGTGTGACAGATTGGTATCAGAGCATTGTTTATAGTGAACTCGGTATATCAATCCATAAAAGATGTACAAACTATAAATACATTGTGGCTGAGAGCTCTGACTACAAGTATACTTTTAAAATTTAAGTATTTTTACAAGAAGTATACTAACATTCATCCCTACAAGTACAGTATCACAGTCATAACAACTTAAAAGTATTTGGATGTTAGACACTGCAGTCAAACCTGGGCAGTTATGTAATCATATCTGGGATTAATATAGCTTGATCAACTATATTGATTTGAGATATGACCAACATGTGTTTGGGAGTGATAGTAGTGTTGCAACATGTCTAAAACTTACCAACTATACATATACAGAAGAACTCTAGAACATAACATAAAGTTAAAATACTATAAGAGTATTTTAGGCACTATATACTAATAACAAACATGTGAAAACAAAAGAACCATTGTTGGTAGAGCTATAAATATTAAGGGTATATTACAGTTATATATAATTAAAGTTATATAGACTTAGAATATGTGATCTAGCTTCATTTCCCTATTCCTTGTTTGGTTGTGGATTTAGAGCAGGATCATTTAATCGAAGGTCGATTATACCCGAGTTATATATAATTAGTATACACTTTGTAGTTATAGTAGTACCTAGAACAAGTCATACAAAATTAATTATCTGTTAATTGTAAGTTTCTCTTGTAGAAACTTGTATTTGCAATCTACCGTTACTAGTTATATTCTATATCTCTTATCTCTCTTCTCGCTTAGATATCAATGGCTGGATTCCATCTACCCGGAGACCCGTACTTTCCCAATCAGGGAAATGGAGGATGGCTCGAGGATGAGCCAGAAGAGAATCCTGAAATCCCCTTAGATGATGATTTTGCAGAAAATTTTCCTGAAGATACTGATTCCGAATCAGAAGCCTATAATCCACCATCAGTAGCCCAGAATCCCAATCCACGACAAAACTTCCAAGGCCCGACGCCTCTGTGGGCGGTGAACATAGAAAGATGGAGTAACGAACAGGGTCAGAACCATCCTTACCAAGGATACCGAAGCTTCTACAATCTGGACACAGGAGGCTCATCAGACAGAGCCCTCCCGGTGTTAGTTTGTCGTGTGGCGCGTAACGATGAACAAGGAAGAGCTGTCATCGACCGATTCATACAGGTTGATTATGCTTCTAGAGTCAACAATGTTCACATTCGCAACCTAGAAGGCAGTCATAATGCGACAAGGGATCGTACGAATTTCTTGATGAGAGAACTGGCGGCATCCCAAGCCGAAGTTAGAGAACTGCGAGAACAACAATTATCACAAGACAGGCGTATGTACGAAATAGAACGCCAGTTAGCCAAATCCAGGGCCGGACATAGTAGGAAGTAGATTATACTCTACTCGTTTACTACTTACTCTTTTGGTTATAGTTAAGTCTGCGGACATGTTCTAGCGTTATTTTTCATATCTTTCAGTACGGCCGCGAAAATTTAATTTTCGGTAGGTCGGGTTAATGTCGATGTTTTCCCAGTATTGTGGTGTATTGTAGATCTATTTAAGGTTTAAGTTTTCCAAACTTTATGTACTCAATATACCAATATAATCGACATGCATTTTCATACTCTTTGAAAAATAACCACTCAATTTCATATTATTCTGTTGCAAGTTGTACTTGCAGTAGACTTCTATTTCCAATTCCTTACAAGATTCATATTGAACTAAGTGTTTCGGTTCATAGATATCATATTCATGTTCATTCTTGATATCTGACTGTCTTTTCATCTTATAATTCTTAAGGTGAAAGATGCCTCCACGGAGAAACCCAAGGCGTACTCATGTTAATGAAGCGCCAACACCACCTCCGCCACCACCTCCTCAATTTGACCCTGCCATGTTTCAGGCGGCGGTCACAGCAGCCGTTGCAGCTGCTATGTCGCATATAACTACCATTGTCGCTAGTGGATCGGGGAGTAGCGCACACCCTTCCAATTAGGGTGATAGTCACGGGCACCATCGGGAGTGCACCTACAAGGACTTTTCGAACGCCAAAGACCTTTAACGAGACTGGAGGAGTTATGGCGTTAAGGCAATGGATTGAGAAAACAGAGGTAGTCTTCGAGATCTGCTCCTACCCGAAAGGTAGCAAAGTTAAATTTGCTGCTTGTACCTTTGCTGATAGAGCCCTAACATGGTGGAACGGCCATGTTAAGTCACTGACCTTGGTAGTGGCTAACTCCATAATTTGGGAGAACTTGAAAACCCTGCTAATGCGGGAGTACTGTCCGCAAGGGGAAATTTAGAAACTCGAGCAAGAGCTCTGGGGTCTTATTATG